ATATATACACACATGTGCATATTAACTGGTTGGGTTCGATACCTCTAAGGTTAAGAACCACTGTTCTATAGTGAACGTCTCTCGGGAGGAAAAAGCTTAATGGCCATAACATCCAAAACATTGCGGCGATTTTGTTTTCAGAGGTTGAAGTGGCCATAGTTGGTGCTGTGTACAGTATGTGAATTTTGGTGGTAATTAATAGTCGTAGTTTTCTAACAATAAGCCACATGAAAGTTTTCTTGACACGCACATTGAGCGCGTTCGACTGTCGCCCAATGACCCTTGAACACTACCTTACAGCCACATTTACAAAATCTACAACTCCTAATCCAATTGGCCTCAATTGAGACACACAAGATACTGCTTTATACTTTTGAGTTTCCGCCTCCACAGTTATAGTGCGGTATGTGACAATGTTATGTGACCGTAGTGTTGTTTTCTAAATGTCCTTTTTAGTCCCTCTTCCCTCTTTTGTTAAACTTTGTGTGCCATTCAAGGCCATGTTCGATGACTGAGTGTGCTGTTTAGGGTTTACACATCAAACCAACACTTTTATCTGTTGACCTCTTGAATGATTTAGTTCTCTTTGTGATCTAGCAACCCAAGTCCTTCACCTCCACTCTGACAACAGCTCACCGCACCTCGCAGGCCCAGTGAAAGCCAATGAGGATGAAGTCATACATATGAATGACATCATCTCCCAGGCATATGCAAACAATCACCGAAACTGGATTTGACTAAAGGGTACAAAGGAACACCAGCAAGGACATCTCCCAAACCACAAGGCCCACCAAAAGACGTGCATGAAATGAATTCCTATCATTGCAAAGTGGTTATAAGTCTGAAAAGCAGAAAATAGCAAATAGACTGAATGTAAAAACATTTATTGTTGGAAGATATATTCAGCAGTGCGTTTCACCAGTCTTTTTTTTTCGTTTGTCTTTTATGTTCCGTCGGCACCTGTTATTTTTAACATAATGTACAAAAAAATTGCCACAGTAGTTGTGCAGCTCTGCGTTGAACACACATTTTGAGTGTATGCACATAGCATTTGAGATGCCGTTTCAAAATTCATATACATGAGTCACAGATAACCAAGAAAGCCCAACAAAGAAGCTGCGTATTAGCCGGCCACCTGTGTGTCTTCTGTGAAAAGGCAAGAGGATGTGAGCATGCTAAGAACCCAACATGACCCAGATGCAAATCATGTTGAAGGAATGTGGCATTTCAAGTTGAAAAAAATGTTGGTCAATAGAAACATTTAAGCAAGATGACATCCCAGAATTGAGATCCTGACACTAAAACAGTATTTATTTACAAGATTCAAGTAGCTCATTTAAGCCGTGTGAATTGCAGATTAGTGCACCTTGAGACATCTGTCTTGGGGCACACAGAATGTTAAGAAATGAATGGTATGTTCGTGGTAGAACTTGCTGAGTGTCAAGTGAAAGTGTGTGTGTGGTGGGGGGGGGGGTGTATCTTAGGCTGAAACTTTAATTCATACATTATACAGTGAACCCGCGCACGTTCGCAGTTCTGCATTTGCAAATTCATTCAAGTGTGGGTTTTGTGCTCAAGACAATCTTGGAATGTTGAAGTGAGTTGAGATGCTTCATTTTGGAGAAAAAAAAGTAGTATTTCATCATCATCATTTTGGTGCCCAGGAACAATTTTGAAGTGAATTCAGGAGCTTTGCTTTGACAATAGTCAATTATTTGCGTATGTTCTTGTGTGGGGGGACTCAAGACTATGGTGTTCACAGGCCGGTTCTAAAAATAGCTCACCTGTGATGGACATTGACATTTCCTTTTTTTGTTGTTGTTGTTGTTGTAGAAATGATCGTTGAAAAATGTGAATACTTGCAAATATTTAGAGAAATATAATTATAAATGTTGATGATAGAACTACTGTTGTGCCCAATGTTCTCACATTCCTTTTGACTTGACTTCAAGTGTTGCATGTTGATATTTAATCATTGTTCACTATTGTGAGAACTCTTAGCATGATCAGTGTCATCGCATCATGTAATCTGAGCAAACATGTTACTTCACAGGTTTTTATCACCGGTCGCCCTTTTTGCGCTTGTTGCTCAAAAAGATGGGCCATCCTGTTCAAGGAAATTGTGGGGAAGATTTCATGTCGTCATGTCACTCGCTTCCATTGATGTGTCACTTCATTGACCGTTTTAGCTACTAATTATAAACCGAAAAGAAAAAAAAGACATACACATGGAATGTTTCGCAAATTACACCATGAGAAAGAGACTATTTCAGCCAAAACCTAGTCTAATACAAACACATAACCCAAAATGAGACAAATTAAGCAATGCATGTGTTGGGTCTTTGGCATGGTTTAACATCCGAGTACAAATTTATGGCTTCTTCTGTTAAACCTTTTCACTACAGAATGACATTGATATCCTGTTCACTTTATTGTTCCAACTGCCATTTGTTGCAAGAGGAACGGGAAAACATAAATCGGTTAAAATATAACAATAGAGAGTTATAAAACATTATGCGGTGGTACGTTTAAGTGGGTACAGTATTTCACGAGAGGGGACGAGTAAGCATTCATTTATTAGACTGACTGCAGCACAAGGTCGGCACTGATTTACCTAAACAAGCTTTGCTCAAAAACACGCAGCAGCTGTGAGGTTTTACAAGATTGCGCCAATAAAAAGGAAAACAGAGCCTACATGTGCCTTCACTTGCGGTTACGACAAAGTTTGTACACAGTGACGGAGGGCAGCGTGGATTTGTAAGAGCTGTGGAGGGTTTTTTTAGGCAGGCGGTGGTCCTGCAGTGTGAGCTGCTTGTATGACCCTGGTGTTCCATGAGGTGATCCTGAACTTAAATGTTTATTTCGATTCCACGATGTAATGTTAACTGTTATTTCATGTGATATCATTATAAAAGAAGAAAAGTAAAAAGTCAGGACAGACTAGTTCCAAGGCTGAAACCAGGGAGCAGCTGAAATGGAAAGACTAAAAACTAACTCGATGTACACCTTCAACAACAGCATAAAAATAATAATAATAATAATGATAAACGCATATATAGGAGAGGAGGGCATTTCATTCCAGTTATTTCTCTTCTTCTCAGATGTATGTTTTTGCTGCGCCTTGCCCCCCCAGTTTGGCACAAGACTTGTTCCACACGAGATGAGATCAGGGCATTGGTGGAAATGATTCCACATGGCGAGATGAAGCGACATGATTGGCTGGGAGATGGGCAGGACTCCACTTCTACTGGTCCCCTTCCACTCGCCTCCTGCGAACTGCAGGGAAAGTAAAACTTCAAAAAAAATGTTCTTATTCGTCCTGCAAATGCTAAATGAAACAAAAACAAAAGATTACATGCTCAACTACAACTTGTTATGGTAACAATGTGTGAGTGAGCACGTGGTCAAAGTTCACACCCATTTCAAGAGCGTGGATTAGTAAGTACAGAACAAACTAAGCCGGCGCCACTCAATGCACTGAATGGTCCCATGAACACTGTGAAGAGAAGTCACTATTAACTTGCACTGAGCACACCCCATGCATCAGACCTGTGCTACTGCAGCTCTGACAACAGGAGGAACTAAAAGAGAGAGCAGATCATTGGTGCCTAGAAGTCAAGAACATCCTAAATCGTATCCAGAAACCAAAGGGAAAATTAATGTCAACAGGAATAGAAAGTAAAACTCAATGTGAATGTTGCGATATTGACTTATTGTATATTTTGTTCAAACATTATTGAACGGATGACACTTTTCAACAATATAATGTACAATGTTAGTGTATAGCTTGTATAAGTGTAATAACTCAATACACAGCCATTAATATCTAGACCAGGGTTGGGCAATTTGTAATAATTTTTTAAGCACTCTGAATTTAATTTGATTTTGATAAGAAAATGTTTTTTTCAAGTTTTAGTTATTTTGTTTGTTTCTGAGATTCACCTAGGGGTGTATTTACTTTTGTAGCCAGCAGTTAAGACAATAATGGCTGTATGTTATTTTGAGAGAACTGTAAATTTACACACTTATACAAATTTTACACTGACTACTTGACATTATAGTCAAGTGTCATTTCTTCAGTGCTGTCTTATTAAGAGATATACAGAATTAAAATATATACAGAAATGTGAGGGGTGCACATCACAGAATGTGCGGTCATGTATTACAAAGTATTGATCACAATTCCGTTTCAAGAGAGTACAAACACTTGCTTACGATCATTTTAGCAACATCTAAGACGCTCTATCCTGAATCTCCAAGAGTGGATAAAAATCGAGAAGAGCAAAGTGATGTGGAGGAATAAAAATAGAGACATCGTTTGCATGCTGGCGTGAGGACAAGCATTCTAAAAGCATATTATAGAAATGCGAAGAACTCTGTGGTGCTCGGCATTTCTTATTACTATTTAATTTTCACTTGCAATAAAGTTACAATTATTTTAAAACTTATCAAAGAAAGTAAGAATTTCTCCATGTACGTCACACTTATTTGTCATGGCATGATCCACCCCTCCTGACTTGTTATCATGAGGTGATTCTGCGCAGGTTGCAACAGGTTCTCAAGTGTTGTGCACATGCACGCTTGCGGCATACCTAGGTCATTGTTCTTGGTGATGGCGGCAGCAGCTCGAGAGCGAGGCCCCTGCTTGGTGAAGTGGTAGCCGAACTTCACGATGCTGTTGTTCTCCTCCAACATTTTAGCTATTTCCATTTCTACATTGGTACCCAGCTGTTGCCTCTGAAATACATTTCCAAGAGCTTAAAAGGTCTGCACATCGGACTAAGGTTCACTTTACAGAAGCCAGCATGACGTGGTTGGAATGACTCGTGGAAAATATGACAAGGAAGTAAATGTTTTGGAAGCTGCTGTTTTGCCAGTTGCCGTTTCCATTGTCAGGCATCTAAATAAGGCAAAGTTAAAATATTGTCGAGTACTTCAGCTAAAGCCAGCAAATCATTAGACAGAGCAGTTGGATGAATGAATGACAACTAAACTACGACAGGATAACATGCATAATCTAATGTGTTCCACTTTGGTATATTTGCTTGGCATTTATTCAGTTACAATGTAGTGTTGAAACATGACTGCAAAATATTCAGAGCTCCAAGATGCCACTGAAGATAGCGCTGACGTGTATTCACCTGGTTGTCTATCTTGATCTCCGTGAGCGTGTCATTATCTCGCAAGGAGTCAATCAGCGACTGCATTCCGGCGCTGGTGATGAAGTTGGATTCCAAGTTCAAACTTCGCAGTGTCTTGTTCTCCCTCAGCGTGTCGCTGAAGGCCTGGAAGGGCAACATTGAAAAAGGTGAACACAGAGCAGCTCTGTGCGATAATAGCCCGGATGACCAGCGTTCCTCACCACAGCAATGGGGTCGTTACTCCGTGTGGCTGCCATGCTGAACTTGGTTACGTGTGTGTTCTTCTCCATGGCCTTGGCAAAGTCTTTGAGAGTGGGGACGGGGATGTTCTGCAAAAAGGAAGTAGCAAACTTGTTGGATGATGGTTGTTCATCTTTAAAACTTGTTGATTCTGAGTGAGCGTTGCACCTTAATGTTGTTCAGGTTGACCTCAGTTAAGGAGGCATCGTTGCGCTTGATCCTGTCCAGTGTTTCTTCCACGTTCGTTGGATTGGGGGGCTCGTCGAACACAGGGTTCATCTTCTCCCCTTTAACCACATCTTGAGAAAAACAAACAGTGGATTATTTTACCCTCTAGTACTGCACCGAGTGAGTATCAATAGTGTTGTCATTATTATTATTATATTTTTACATACTGTTGTAGCCCTCTTTCGCTCCAGTTCCGTCATACGTCTGATTGCTGGTTACAAGCGTGTGAACACCCAAGATTGCTGCAAACAAAGGAAGGCATATGAGACTCTACATGCACAGACATGTAACCTAAAATAAAAGTATACTTGGAAGGCATTCTGGGGCTGGAGGTCTTGGAAGACAATGTGGTATGATTTGGACTAGTAGAACACAATATAAAATAAGAGTTACGAGTGTCAATGGGAGTGTGTGTTGCTGTGCTCGCAGAGGGAGACTCTGTGGGTGTTTTGGTCCTGGAGCCAGTACATTTAATGTAAAGAAGTACTGTAATGCAATTTACATGCAAGATCACAGAGTTCCGTATCCGTGGCACTGGACAGGGCCTCCTCCAATTCCGGGTCAAGGGTTGTGACATTCTCCTGTCGTGTTTCTACTGGTTTCTGTTTAGGAATAAATGCTTTGCCTGGGGAGAGAAAATTAAAAAGAGTTGAGGAAATGGCACGTAAACGAGGAGGTGATTCCATCCGACAACAGACAAGAAAATAAAATGAACAAATAAGGTGATACAAGCAGGTTCAAGTCAAAGTTTTATATGCGATGTCATTTTTCACCACCCTCTCACGACACTCTTCACCAGTAGAGGAGCTTAATCTTGATCATCTTTATTAATGTATTTACTTTATTTCACTCATAGGATGAATAAAGTATCTGAAAAGTATCCATCGAAATTATCTTTCTTATTTAGGTCTTATTTCATACTATTCACTATTGAACACATTTCCATGCTACACTTATGTACATAAAATTAATATAATGCAAATGAACAAAACATTCTCTACACTGTTATAATACTATCAATTGTATGTATTCATCAATCTATTTATCATTCCAGTTCAGTTTAAATCCGACCCTCCGAAACTCTTCCCTTGTGCTACTATAATGGCATTTGCATGACTTCATTGAAATCAATCAAAATCACGTTTGTTTTCAATTGCCTCCGACACACAGCATGAGTAACAGCAGCGGACTGAGACCGTCACCAACCGACTCCTTCCGGTGCTCTCAGCAACAATATGGCATCATATTGCAACACTTACAATGTGTTGTGCTTGACTGTAATGCACAGAAATCTCACAAACGGTTGCGAATTCATTCATTTAGGATCATTTCCGGTCATCAGAGACAATGTAATTGATAAGGCTCATTGGGCCGTTACCATTTAAAACGCCAAATAAAAAAGGTTGGGCTCCATGCTGTGTTCTTCTGCTATAACATTCCACACCACAATACTCAGTTGACCTGAACTAAGACTAACAGTCAGGCGAGCATGGTAGTGCCATGGTAACCACTCTGAGGGGGGAAAGGGAAGGAAGTCATGAACAAAAAGTCAACTGTAATCTTGACTGCGCTGCTGCTGTGTGACAGCCTGTGGATGCCAGCGCTACATGCCTGCAAGAAATAGGCGCTTCTAACTTTTTAAACTCCCTTTAAAGTCAGTCAAGCCAATCAAATTGCTCATACTGGTCCCTGGTGGGGGTTCTGGCACTTCCTGGAGCCAACAAAACAGTAAATACACTCATCAGGCTCCTTCCTGTGCCTGCTCATTTGAAGCAATAGAGACGTGGCAATCCCGAAAATGCCAGTTTCATGTACATCGTGGATTCAACTGTGAAACTGCCAAAGGAAACCACAAACACGATCCGCATCACAATGAATCCTAATGCTAGACAAGGGAAAAAAATTGGGGTATGTCTTCCAGTAGGTGAAGCAAATTATTGACATTGTATTGCCAGCTATTCGAGTTAAAATGTGTACAATGTTAATCGCTGCAAACAAACCTCAAACCTCTGAGATTGGAAATGGAATTGGGAATTGAAAACGCAAGAGAAGAAGAAGAACAAAAAAATGAATAGATTATAAAAGAATTACGTTAAATGGTGAAGGCCTAATATCCTTTGCAGTGGTTTCCGGGGCACGTAAGGAGGCTGTTTGTTTTAATTTATCAGCTGGGGTAAAACAAAGAAGGGGAAGGGAAACTGCAACATTCCACGTAATTACTGCAATGATTCAACTTTTCCATGTCGTCATAGGACTTGCACACATACACATATGGGACGCATTATAGCTAACTAGGCAGTGCGGGTTCAGCGTGGATGTCAAGATGTCAGCTGCACATTTCCTCTACATTAGCTGATAGAATATTTTAATCTACAATGCAATTCCTGTAGACTATGCTCGTTATTATGATACTACTGCGCTCGGGACGATAAATGGAACCGTGGAATCATGACTCTGTATGAGACGTTACTTTTTGTTGGACTGTTTTTGTGCTTTCTCCTGTCTTTGTTATTGATTTATTGTTTGTTGTTGTATGAATTATTTTTGCTCCATATACAGCACTTTGTATACAGCAGTGGTTGCTTTAAAGTGCTCTATAAATACAGTTGAATTGAGTTGAGGAACACTGTTACATAGTTTGCTGCCACTCCCTCTTCGGCTTGACTGTTTTCCCACTTTGGTGTCCTGTTAAACCTTTTAATTTATTCTACCGGGTGACTGAAATGAGGCAGAGTTTTGTTTATTTTTTAACCCCAAATTGCAGCTCTTTTAATTTGAAAATTACATTGTACTACATTGCGATGTCGATTTGAATTTGCCTAGTTACTCAGCCAGAGCAGGGTATTATATTACAGGTTATTATATCGAAGTTAATTGCCAGTACATGAATTCAAAATCTCACATTTCTATTTTTACATCTTTTTTTTAAGACCTTTTGAAACTACATCCACACTTGTGCATCTTGACAACATGTAGGGTGCAATAATCCTTTACCGAAGGCTCTTTGAACACAAACACTGCAGGAACCTATGAAGACGGAATATATAACAATATTCACAGGCATATATTAATATTCGTGCGGCTTACTGGGTCACTCAGTTTTGAAACTAATTGTTTGCGTCTGTGTTTCTGTATTCTACTACCCCCTGGTAGCCAAAGCTCCTACAGCAGAAGGAGCACAGTGTGGGGTTGTAACGGATGACTGGCATTTCCATTCATTTCAATAGGGAAATATGATTTGAGATACAACGGTTTTGACGAAACGAATCAAATTCTTGAGTCTAGATATCACTGGGCCAAAACCGACAATTTAGTGCAAAATACTGTTCATGGGTATACCGCTTTACATCCCTTCTGTCAGCTCACCCCACACACAATGGTGGTGTTCCCCCGCACTCCCGCCTTCATGTTGCATAAGAGGGCACAAGCATTAGTAATACTTGCACAGACAGCAGCAGAGTAATTACCGCTGTGTGTCTCAACTGCATTACTGCTACAGCCACAAACCCACGGATACACACCAGCCCTCCATCCCAGTTCACATGACAAATAACGCAATGGAGTTAACATCTCTCTCTTGATTTTTAATTTCAAGGTCATCGGGACAAGGTTGATGCCTCCAGAAGCAACTGTCACAGTTGTTTTCAGGGATTCGGAAATACTTACACTATGTGTATTACATATAAGTGTATTTTATACTGACACATTCTTAATATAAGATAAGATAATCTTTATTTGTCTCACAATGGGAGTAATTCCCAATTTTCAGCAGCAAAATTATGAAAGGGAGAAAGTAGAAGACAAAAAGTATATAAATATCATAAAATATAACATAAAAATATCATAACTGTGCTGCTTTTTTTCATCACCATACTGTACACCGAAAGAAGGATTCATGCTGCTCAGCTTCACGCACCTTTCTTCTCCCCTGTGAAGGGTACAATATCCTCTCTGTCCTTGTACTCCATGGCTTCCTTCTCCAGGTATTTGAGGAGGCGCTCTCTGTCAAACCTTCCCGTGGCTTGCTTTGTAGTTTGGTTCTTTTGACGTAAACCCGCCGGAAGAAGTGCATTCTGAGGGGGACCAATGACCAACATTAGTAGATGTGTGGATTAAAATACAATAAATGCTATATCAGCAATGGGCCCCTCCTCCAATTGTCACCGAGCTCCGACCTCTGGGTCCATCTCCTCCAGGGCCGTCTCCAGCTGTTTGAGCTCATCCACCGACAAATTGTTAAGGATCTCATCTTCATCCAGATCCTTGTACTTGTCCAGGTCCTTTTTGAATGACAACGTCATGATGCTCGCTGCTGCTTTCCCGACCACGCTGAACAATAGACTGCAGGCCCTCTTTCAATGTCTCCGTCTTGTCGCTCCACAGCAGAGAAAAGGCTACCTGAAGATGAAGAGAAAAAGGGCACATATACTGTAATAAAACTTCCTGTTTTTGTCAGACGGAATAGGAGGAAAATTTTTATGATTTTTGTTTGTTTGTTTTTTTGCCCAAGGTTCACTTATGACTGAGCACTCTGAATTCTGCCTAGCAACTCGTAGGACAATTGTGTGATGCGATCTGGAAAAAAAACGGTTAAATGATGCAACATTAAAAATATTTCAGTTATGACACCCATCCCTCCCATCCGTCTTCGATACCGTTTATTGGTATTGGGGTCAGAGGCGAGCTGAAGCCTATCCCAGCTGGCTTTGGATGAGAGGTGGGGTACACCTTGGACCGGTCGCTAGCTAATCACAGGGTAAATATAGACACAACTATTCACATCTACACCTACGGACTATTTACCGTCTTCAAAGTCAATGAACCTCACATGCGTGTTTTTGAATGTGGGAGACCTACACAAGCAGGGGTGACGAGGAAAGCTTGCAAGCTCTACACTGGATGGGCGAAGTGGAGATTTGAAACCCGAATCTCAGAACTGTGAAGCAGACGTGGAACTCATATGTCCGCTGTTCTACACAGATAAGACACGTTTCTAATAAATCGTTATCATTATCCAAACATCGCCATTTGAAGGGCCATTATTTCTGGAGTTATACTAGTAGTGCCTAGCCTAGACTCATATCTAAGTGGATTCCTCACTCTTTTATTAAAAAATGCCAGTAAATTTAATCAAGTCTTTTGTAAAACAGGCCAATGTTGAGCTCATCCTTGTGAAACAATAGTTGATCACAGCTGCCGGCGCTGCACATTTAAGCTTTGCAATGACGCAACACACACAGCTGGAACAAAGAAACAACATTCTCAGAACATCGACAGACAGACCACTCCTTTGAAGAAGCCTACCTCTCGTCCGGTGAACCCTACAGGCTAAAGTCTCTCTCTATTGTATCATATTTTATACCCTGACGCATAATCTTAAATCCATATGTGCTGTCACAGGAAGATTTGAACGAACAGAATGTGCGTGAATAATGAAAGCAGCATGGTGAAGACATTTCGGAATGAGAGCCTGTCCTGTGGGACTTGGTGATGAGACCTCAGTTTTCTGCTCACTCTCCCACGCCACAGTTGGAACGTAACATGACCTCATCATTTCCACACTCCCCTTAAGTGGTCCACATTTGACGTTAGCCCTAACCCCTCCCAAAAAGTATCAAGATATTTAACTCTAAACTTTCCTTCGTAGTTTTCTTGGACTATTTTATCGCACTAGAAAGAGAACATTAATCACGTCTTACTGCCTCTCGATTACATAAGACATGCCCCTCGACTTAAATAATTCAACATTGTAAACACTTTGGCAGCAGTTTAAAAAAAAATCCTCAACTGTGAGTTTGAGCAAAAGATTCTTTCAAAATTTCTGGCAGTTTCCCCAAAACTGCTCAAGTCAGGGATTTCTCCACTTGAGGAGTTTCCTGAACAAGCTGTCGCGATGTGCACTGTGCAGTTCCTCACCTCCACAATTCAACCTCTGTCCGTCTTGAACTTTTCCTCTCGCCTGCTCCATTAAACCACCACAACAAACACATTAGGGAGAAATGTTAAGAGTCACGGCAGGGGCATTTACCAACCAGTCTAAGCGCCAACAGATAAGGCTGAACTGAAAAGTCAACGCTGATGGCTTTACTCAACAGCAATAATACCACTCAAAATAATATTCACTCAAATGTGTCAACTTGCCACACAATGCTTATTGTATATGCAGTAGGACAGGGGTGCCCATTACGTCGATCGCGATCGACTGGTAGATCGCGGACTGTACCCAAGTCGATCGCGAGGGGTGTAGAGGAGAAAAAAAAACAACCATTTGTGTGTCTTTGTGCATGTTAGTAATATATATTTTTTGTGTGTTTATGTACACTGCACCCTAATCATCCTATCAGTCTCATTTTCACAAAAAGTATTTTAAAAAATTAAATAAAATAAAGCAGGTAAATCTTTAACCTACGATGGCGCGTGACCTGCATTACCGAAGTTGTTAGCACTCAGCAGTCTGCAATTGCAGCTTGTGATCAGCGCTGTTGCGCTACATCTTTAATCGTTATCATTATTCTCATTCAGAGTTTGTTTCGTGTACAATTCACCAAGGGCACGGGCAAAGAATAGGAATCTAGAGGGCCGGGGGAAGTACTTTAAAACGGTACGTGTGAGCTACGATAGTTAAGAGGCTGCAAAAGTGCGTCATATGCCTCCATGTCAGGCTGTTGCTCATCATGTCGTGCGTGTGTATGTGCGTAAACTGTAACGGGTCGATCGCAGAAGGTTGGTTGATCGAAAAGTCGATCTTCGGTCCAAAAAGTTTGGGCACCCCTGCAGTAGGACAGGTGTTTGAATATTAACATTTATAATGATACAATATTTGTAGCTCATAATTTTCAGACCAATAAAGTTAAATGGGATAATTTTCCTGCATCGGATGTTCTCTCATGGCACAGTAATGGGCCACAACATCATGGATGGGGATCACTGCTTTAGACTGTTTCACAAAGTGATACAGTTAATGAGTCCACGGTGGGGTTTAATGGTATTCCGATCTGGCTTGCATTTGCACTGCAGGATGTGCAGGTGTAGAGCTTTGAGCTAAAATCAATAACTGTTTGTGAATTAATCGTCAAAATCACAGTATTATGAGTGCTGGATGCTTTAGTCCACTCACGGTAGTGTTGTCAAAATTATCCCCATTCATACGGCTCTACAAAATAGACTGAAAACGCTGTAATGCGCATACCTAAACTGCATTTACCCAGATCACCTGTTTGTCCACCAGATTTTGTTCATCTTTTTGCGAAGAAACGCATCAACTTTGCATTAATGAGATTCAAGATTTAGGATTCACTCATATGAATGGACTGCCAAAATGCCAATTTTTGTTTCCTTTTTCGGTTAAAAAGGGAGCACAAAAATGTCACATCTGAAAAAAGTGGCATTGATGCACCCCTACGCAAAAAATGTCAGTTACTACATGCTGAAAAGCACATTGGGGTAAAAGTGTGATGATATTTCTATTCAGGATTTGGATAAAGTGCAGGATAAGACAGCCAGGATGAACACAAGTCACACACATGTAATGCTCTTATGACAAGATGAGCTTGAAATAATACCATTCAGGATATTATCCTCTTTTCTCAAACAGCAACCACAAAGTCCGAGTAAAATAGAAAAATCTTAGTGCATGCAGACAGCGATAATGGATGAACGGTGAAGACGCCGCAACAAGAGGACCCATGAGTCCAGTCTGATTAATTCCATTCTCCTTCTCATCTCTGCTAATCCTACGACACAAACAGTACCGTAAGCCAATAATACTGCAAACCTGTCGACACAACTCAATTTGTCACCTTGGCCTTCCTGACACTGACCTTACCCGCACTAATTGGCACTTAAATGTGTCTATTATTAGGAGAGGGCACAGTAGAGCGATGAAATAATATAACAAATCTGTAGATCGAGATCCAACGACTACGTGTGTGTGTGTGTGTGTGTGTGTGTGTGTGTGTGTGTGTGTGTGTGTGTGTGTGTGTGTTTAGTTGGAGATACATCAGAGAGATGAACAGGAAGTTTGCTTTAGTCCCTTGTTATAGTAGACCGCCCTAACATAAGACTATAGTTAGAATTGCCCAGCTTCCTCATCCCACACGTTGCTCTTATTATATTCCCACAATGTCTCTGTCTTGTTCATCCTCCACTACACTGCACAGATAGCACGCAAATACATAAAGTCTAACTCGGCCAAACACAGAGGTGAAAAGACTGCTATCTGAAGTGTGTCTTCCCCGAAATAAAAATTTACAAATTAAAATAATAGGCTTTCCTAAAAAAAATGACTAGGCAGGAAGTGTGGTGTTCCTCAAAATAACAAAACATGATCGCATATCCCCTATCAAGATGCACACTCAAGACACATACTACTTTATTACTGTACTATGTATATAATAAGAGAAGCTTTTAAGGAACTCCTGGTCTTTCAGCTTGGCCAAGACTAAAAATGAAAGCATAAGAATAACAAGTTCTATCAGAGAGACCACTTTAGAATAAACCACATCTTGACAGAAGGACTTCCAAATTCGAATGATCTGACCTCAAAGTAGTACAATTTGAAGTCGATTTACAAAAGTCACACAACAACCTTAAGATGGAACTGTCATTGTGCCTACGACAAGCCAAGGATTAATGTCTCTTCTGTTCTGACAATTCTGTGAGACCTCTGGGTTAAAGAAAGTTTAGTTTATGATTAATGGTAATGATCTGTTCTTTAAGTCTTAATATGTAGCAGTTCACTTATTTTTACAATCGTACAGCAGTCAAAAATCTGACGTATAAAGAATTTTTTGTGCAACAAAAAAGGGCGAAGCAAAATCTTTGCCTGTGCTGTGTATATTTTTCCGAACAGTCTAATGTTACTACCACAAGTTTTACATGGGGTCCTTCTAGTGGTATGCAAGAGACTCCCTGATTTAATGGTTAAACTGTGCATTGTTACTGTGGCTTAAACATTTGCTTATATCTGGATTGTTCAATAACGTTTTGTTATATTTAAATTTTAAGTGTAATAAATGTGCGTTGAATCTTTTAAGACTGCTTGTTTTCAGACATGTATTTAACTGTTTTGGGTTACACTGTGCACAACATTTCTGAGCAGGTTGCTTTCTCTTTATGCAACCAAATCCTATCTGCAGAGCCTGTTTATCTGCAATACAACACTGCATCGGGTAGGTGTGGCAGACGGGAGGTTTCACTCCGAATGTCATGTCAGCGTGCGGACTCCATGCAGGTACAAACAGCAGCTAACTCACAGCTTGTAAGATGATAAGCTGAAAGCTCACTTTCCCTGAGCAACCATGCACCATAACATAAGGGCCACACCCTGCATTCATCATGACGACCAGACAGATAACACCGAGAGTGAACTAAGATGTAGAATGTGAACAGAAAAGTGTACATGGATTCCGGAACACAGCGATATGATTTTGCAACTTATTAGTGACTGGATGTGGTATTTTACACTTCGTTCGCCCTTCCGTGCTCTCAATGATGATGGGAGTCACCCTTAATCACTGAAACTATAGGACTACTGACGTGTTACTGCGTTTGCCTGAAACTGAAATTTAATCAGATCCCTGGAACCGACCAATAATAAATATTAAACGATTTAGCAAGTTAACTAGATGGAGCATTTCTGCCAGGTATAATAACCGAATGTTCTTGTATTGTGAGCAACAGCACGCCCAAATGACTGGCAACACGTAAATTGTCTTCTGTGGAGAAGTTTCCGTAAATGCAACCGAAAGAATTTCATTCATCGCCTACGTTTAGCTCGTCATGACATGTTTATTATGACAGTCTTACCGACAATTACAATCCGTCACAATCTACATTACCTTGGAATAAACAACTCTGCAGTTATACGGAGACTATTTTATTCCCTGAAAGTTGGCATGTGATAGAAATAGCCTGACAGCAGCCAGCTAGCAGGCTAACATTTGCTTCAACGGTGCTAATGATTGAAGCTAGCTCATCCAGCTCGAGGGCACACCTTCAAGCGGCAGTTTGTGTCACATTACTCCGATTATTCCCGCAAATTCAGCGACAAACACACGCATTCGCGCCGGTCTTACCTGGGGAAAATGAAACGAGGTGGAGTGATGAGCGGACTTCCTTGTGAGGACGGTGTCTTGATTTCTAGACTCAGCCCAAGGGTGGAACAACAGGGAAAAGAGAGTGCCGCAGGTTTACTGACTGACGTACGATTCACCCAATAGACACCGCAGTTACATGTGTTTTAACCAATGTTTGGAAAGATCCCGCCCCTTAAAGGGGGGAAAAAACTGAAAGTCGGGTGGAACTGAGCTGAATGAAATAACAGAATGACTTCTGTATTTAGCGCTTTATAAAATATTCATGGAATGGTGGACGGCTCACAGTGCAGAGGTGCAGGGTTCGAATCCTTACTATGTGGAGTTTGCATGTTATGTCTATGTCTATGTGTGCCCTGCGATTGGCTGTCAACCGTTCAGGGTGTACCCCTCCTACTACCCGAAGACCGCGGATCAGATAATGGATGGATGGATGGATGGATGGATGGATGGATGGATGGATGGATGAATGGATAGTCCCTACTTCAGTCAACTAGTAAACAACCATACCTCGATAGTCAACAAATGTGCTGCACTAATAACACTATGAGGCCCAATTAATAGGCATGTGACATTCTTGTTGATAAAAACATTGAAGTCCCTGATTCTTGTTGATAAAAACATTGAAGTCCCTGTCAAGTCAAGTCAACTTTATTGTCAAATGTGCTCTATGTGCAACATACAGCACAGATGAAATTTCTTTCCTCTCAACCACAGGAGGGAGAGGAGCCGTTGCGGGTACCCGCACCGCCATCAACAGAACAGTTAACATAAAATGACAAAATAATACAACACAACACATAAAACAGTGTGAGAATGTACTGGTATCCTATGTGTCCTAACAAGCAGGACAACTTTGGCCTTGTACTAGAAAAACGACATATTACTACTAGTGAGGCAACACAAGTTGACAACATGTTCTACTAGTAACATCATAACATTTTATTAGTAAACTGGCGCTTCACTGTACTCGTAACATGTGGTTGTCAACGAGTGCACGGGTTTACCTTATTTGTAACAAATAGTCCTACTTTCATGCCAAAGTTCCCCTACAACCGGTGCAGCAATGTCATACACAATGAGCGCACTTGTATTATTAGGATGTCGAATAAATGCTCAAAAGGCATCATTAGCACCACATTATTTAACTAGTAGTGTGCCAAAATTTCAGAAATGTCATACAGTCGTGCAAAGAAAAGTTGCCAACAATATGGCAGACCGACTATTGAACTAAATTGTAAATTACTAGTGAGGGTAAAGCCTAGTACAGGAACAACCTAAAGTTGGATACTGTATGAAGAACATCCATTCCCTGCGTTTTACCGCCCCCACGTGTTGTTTTGAACTCACTTCAGCAGGGTGTCGTCTCCAGCGTGACCCTGGAAGTTGAATCTTTCCTCTGAAAGTCTTCACAAATACTTCCGGTAGGTCACATTTCATACAGTTTTAGAAAAATGGCGGATATGGATGAATTGTTCGGGAGTGATGGAGAGAGCGACAATGACCAACGAGGTATGGAGCTGTTTTACATCTGCTACTTATAAAACGTGAGAAAGCTCACCCAGTGAAAGATTTATTTTTGCCCGGCTAATAATAACAGCAGTGATTGTTAGCACTTCTGGGAACACTTTAACAACATGGGCTGCAATAAGCTAAGATGAAAAAATATACAATTTTCCTAGCCATTAGTCTCTCACATTTAGCGTTAGCCTACATTCAGCACACTACAATTGTTTATGAAATTTGGCGTTGCTTAAATTGAATGCAAGAAGTCATGCTCATTGAGGCTGTCATATGAGTTTAATTTCCTAATACTTTATTTGATCTACATAAACGTTAAGTGCTAGTTTTCTTCTGTAGTAACTCAACCAGCAGCAGTAGCTCACCTGTGCATTGGAACAGTTAATCTTGCTGCGGACAAAAAAAGGTAACTTACTTTTAGAGAAATGCGAGCCTGCTTCCTGTCGGGGTGTCCTTGATCAAGGCACAGGAGAGTGAAGTTTTGTGAATTTGCCATTGTTGGATTACAATGACTATGATAAACATCAAAAGTAAATGACTGACTCCTCCTAATCCAGTAATTACTGTTGGATATCATTTGAATATGCAGGTGTGCCTAATGTTATGACCGATGTTCTACAGAATCTGCTTCAGGCTCTGGATCTGACTCTGAGCAAGAGCAACCTCGTTCTGCCAGTAATGTATCTGGCAGTGGCAGTGACAGTGAGAGAGAACGAGATGATGATGACGAAGAGGAAGGCCATGAAGGTGGAAAACCCAGTATGAATAAAGTGCGTACCTTTGTTTGACAGTTGACTAGAGTGGGTCTCAGAAATAATTGCATACTTAACTAACATTGTAAAAGACGAGTGCTAATCAAAAACTAGCTTGAAGAAAGTTCGGGGCTTATATTTATAGGTAATTCTTGCTGTATCGCGGCTCAATTCTCCATGACAGGAGTCCTTGTACATACTTTTATTCCTAGGAACTGTTCGGAGACGACAGTGAGGAAGAAGAGCACAGTCAACACAGTGGCAGCGGACGCAGCGACAACCAGTCTGAGCGGTCGGGCAATCAGTCTGACGCCAGCGTGCACTCGGATCAGGCTGAGAATGAACACTCCGATGCAGAGCAGCACAGCGGCTCAGAGCGTGGCCATCGAGACGACGAAGAGGACGAGGAAGATGGAGGCCGCCGGTCAGATGGCGGAAGCCCGGCAGGCAGTGGCATGTCGGGAGGGGGAAGTCCGCGCTCTGAGAGGGGCAGTGTCCGCTCTGACAGAAGGTCAGCAGCTCATGGACTCTCAGGAGATGTTCTGTCTTTACATAAATAGCCCTATTGTGCTTTAATTGACAGAAATGGTTTCGTTACCTTTTTGCCTGCAAACAAAGAATTTTAATCACAGAAACATCATGCTAAATCAACAATTTGTGATGTTATGACTTTTGAGAGTGATTCTGATCTTTGTAAAACCTCTTCATTTCGACCGGTGTAGCTAATAATGTGGGTGGATCTTCATTTTATTCTGTTTAAGCATTCACACCGACCTCGGAACCCCGCGATCGGGTGGGGGAACCCCTCACTCTGACGGAGAAGGGTCAGGCCGTGAGAACCATTCAGATGACGAGAAGTGGGAAGGTGGGGCTAAGAGTGACCAATCAGAGGACGAAGAGGAGAAGCGGCAATACTCGGATGAAGAAAGAGAGAACTCTGACGATGAAGGGCCCAGGAACACAAAGTCTGGTAGGAGTTTCATGTGAATTTGGCATGTTTTGGCCGGCTACAAACCCACGCTAATCGCCAGATGAAGGGGAATGTAACACATTTGAGTTTTTGTCACTGCTGTTTCTGTTTTGTTGCTATACAAAAAAGCAGTGTGCTTTTTTTTCCGATATGAGTTTTGTTTTTTTCCCCACAATATCGTGAGTTCTTGAACAATATCATGAGCTTGTTTTATTTTGCCCACATCCCCACAATATCATCCAAATTATCATATCATGAGGTTCATATCATTATATCAAGACGTTTGGATTTTGTTACATCCCTATGTGATGTGACTGTGAGCTTGTGTTTCTTCAAGGCAAGCAAAAAACTACACCAGATACTGTGTTTACAAGACAATTTACATGTTTAGAAGAGTTACCAGAATTATAATCAAGACGATGTGACCTCATGTTAGTAACACTGAGACAGCTAATCATTGTTACCTCTCATTCACAAATCTTTATCGTTATTTTAGATGCAGAAACGGAAGATGCTTTTCAAAGTAGTCACTAAGACACTGATAAAGAAAATGTTGACTGACTTTCATTTCCCATTAGTTCGAATGACAAGCTCTTCCACTCTCTGATACCGATCCTGCTGTGTCTTACCTTAAATTGTTGTTTTGTATTTTGCAGAATCTCCAAAAGGAAGCGATAGTGAAGATGAATTCATCCATAGGAGAGCCAAAGCAAAAGCCGCTTCAGATTCCGACTCTGACAGTGACATTGGTGCAAATGAGAGTAAGAGAACCCCGATGAGTGTTCACCCTTCGCAGCTCATATTTTTTCCCTGTCAGAGGATAAAAGATTGTTCATTCTGTGCTCACACGCAGACAAGAAGTCTGTAGCAGATGACCTGTTCGGCGAGGCTGATGACATCTCTTCTGACAGTGATGCAGAAAAGCCTCCCACCCCGGGACAGCCCATGGTATCCACCTAAACTTTTTCATTACCGTCTCTGTCATCTTTAATGAGAATGACCACTCTGTTTTGCCCTCAGAGCGTCTGGCTAAGACTCGTTTCGCTAATCCCTTTTATCATGGCTCAGTGAAGCGGAGTTTGATGAGCTTTTCTCTTTAGGATACAGAAGATGGTTTGGAAGGGGAGCAGGCAGAGGAGGAGCCTGTGCCTGAGACTCGTATCGAAGTCGAGATCCCCAAAGTCAGCACCGACCTTGGCTCTGACCTTTACTTTGTTAAGCTGCCCAACTTTCTCTCTGTGGAGCCCAGGTTAGGGCCAATTAAACTTAATAGACACACGTTGTACTCACGCTAACTTAAAATATCCAGTATAACTTCTGAATGTTGAATCAAAGTTCATTTGAATTCCCCCTTTGTAGACCTTTTGACCCACAGTACTATGAGGATGAATTTGAGGATGAGGAAATGCTGGATGAAGAAGGACGCACCAGGCTGAAGTTGAAGGTGTGTATTGTCTACTCTAGCTAATTGCTGGAACACAATTAGCTGTGGTCAGTCATTGCAGCAATAACTGAAATTAAGTGTTTGCAATCACTTCTGATGAGTCTCCTGCATTGCTGTGGAGGAATTTTGGCCATCTCTTCTTCATTGGATTGTTGTAACTTTGTCATCATATTGGAGAATTTTCCACTGTGAACTGCAATTAAGGTCATACTGCAGCATCTCAGTTGAATCAAATTTTGATCTGGCCCTCACAAACCTTTATTTTTGGCTTGTTTGAGCCACTCGGATGTGGACTTGGTGTTGTATGTCATATTGTTCTCCTGTTGCATAACCTAAGAGCATTTGAGCCCGAAGGCATTTTCTATTAGACACTGCAGAATGGACGTGATGCACGCATCTTTTCTGCATTTGGGCTAGG